AGTGCCATACACACCAACCTAACCATCCAACTCTGTAAGAGATCTTAGTATCTTCCTGTATATCGCAAACATCTGTCACAGACCAAGTTTTTTAAAAAAAATTTAATTCCAGTTCTGACTATTAATACTATCTTTCTTTTGTCACATTCTCAGCAGGGCCAAAACAATGACACCACAAACAGGGACAACTCACCCCAAATGCTTACACCTCCCCATGCCACACAGCACCTGCAGCATTCCTCCTGCTGCTCTGTAGCTCTCTGGAGTGTTTTGTCCTCCCAGAGGTTTGACTGTACAGTCAAAAGCAGTTTTACCCCTGTGAAAATCTGCTGGGGTCTTTGCTCCTCTCATATCAGCAGGCTGCTGGGGAACTGCCAGTGCCTTGGACAGTCCTGACAGGACATTCTGTCATCCTGACCGTGACTCTTCTAGATCACTTCTCCATGGCTACACTCCCTGCTGAAGTCAGCCACCCTAGACTCTCCGAGGATTATTCTGACTTTCAGCGCTGGTCAAATGTATCCTTTGACCACTTCATTCCTCTAAACCAGCATAACTAAGGCTGCTTCTAAGTTTATATAATTTAGGCTCTTTCTCCCACTTTTCTTCTCCAGAGCTGTAACGTATCCTGGCTTCCTCTACAGGTTCTTAAGAGTGCTTTCACCTCAGTACAAGTCATGTGCATATACAAGTACAAATATTCCTTGGTAAGGGCTACAACCACAACAGATTTCAAGGAATCTGGATGTTTTTTCCAAATTCCACATGAAGCTGTCAGGGCTCAGGTCTAAACGGAGGAGAAGCTGGGGCATGCATTGTACTGTCTTTGGCCACTGTTTGGTTTTGTGGGGTGGATTAGATGGAGGAAGTTTCTGTTCTACTTGTGAATGATTTTCATTTATTCACTCTGTTCTTTGAAAGTAGATGTTTCACATGTGGCCAGATACAAGATATTAAACATGATGTCCCTTTATTTGCTGTGATCTGATTCAACAAGGAGATGAGATGTAGGCTCTTACAGGAAATCACCTCCCTAAAAAATTCATACAGTAAAAGTCAAGAGACAGTATTTACCCATAGAGTACAAATCCTCTGACACAGTAAAGTTGTAACAGAAAGCCACTGAGCTGGAGGAACATCTACAATGAATAACCCTGGGGCAGAGAACAACGCAGAAGATGCTATTTTATGTCTCCTGCTGTATGTACACATTCCTTGTCTTCGACTTCATATGGCCCCTCTGCTTACAAACTGCCGCGTTTTTTTAGCATTTTACCATCCTGAGCAAAACCTACCCCTGTAGCAGACTCTCAACTGTCTTTACTGGGTTACTTAAAGCACCCAGTATTTCAGCCTAAGGAAGCCAGTCTCAGACTACAAGGACTGTCAGTGTATTTTACATAATCTAAGTGTACACTTCTGAGATACACAGATCATCAGATACACCAGATTATTGCTTCTTTTTCTCTCTTTTTTTCTTTTGTTTATTTGGGTGCGCTTTTTTCTTTTTTTTTTCCTTTTTTTTTTTTTTTTTTAAAAGCTGGCTGACAAAACTTTTAACATTTACTCATTTTGGTAAGCAACCATGGCATCAGATGAAGGCAAATGGAACAAACTTATTGAAACCTAAGATTTGTTCTTCTCAGAAACAAAAAAAGGCTCTTTACTTTGTTTCCCTTATAATGCACTATTTTCCACTGAATGCAAAAGGCAAATTTGCTCAGAGCTGATAGAAAAATGCATTTAAGGGTAGTTTGGATTTTTTAATAGAAAACAAAGAATGGAATTTACAAAGTTAAAATCACTTTTCACATCTCTGTTGGGCCACAGGTTTCTTTCCTGAAGAAAGGCTTCACCTATGCATCATCCAGGTTTAGAAATGACAATTTAACAATTTTTTTCCATGAAGCACAATAATCTACTACTTTTAACAGTGGTCCCTCCAGTGATATTAAGAAGCTTGAATCAGGCCAATTAAACAGAAAATCTAATTTAAAATACACTCAAAAGAAAAATCATTAAATATCCCACAATGTATATCTAAGAGTTGAAGGATCTAAATCCAGTGTATTAGCATGCTCTAACTGAGACAGACCTCTCTCTCCCTGATTTAAGAGAGGCATATCAGAGAAACAGGTTAGTCCACACTGGAAATGGCTTCTTGAAGATAGAGCACTCAAATGCTTCCATGGCATCAACCCTGAAGCAGGACAATGTTCTCCATTAGCAGATAGTTATAGACGAATTCAGTGCTGAATGCCATGACTACAGCATGTACCTTGGGGTCAACAAGGCAGCACAACAGTTGACCTTCCATTAGAGCACACTGAACAGAAGCAAATGCATGGCACTTGCAAAATCACCACAGAATCACAACAGGCTGGGTTGGAAGGGACCTTTAAAGGCCATCTAGTCCAAATCCCTTGCAATGACCAGGGACATCTTCAGCTAGAGCTGGCTGCTCAGAGCCCTGTCCATTCTGACCTTGAATGTTGCCCGAGATGGGGCATCCACCACCTCTCTGGGCAGCCTGTGCCAGTGGTTCACCACACTCATTGTAAAAACCTCCTTCCTTATATTTTGTCTGAATCTACCCTCTTTTAGTTCAAAACCATTACTCTGTCCTACTACAAGAGGCCCTATTAAAAAGTTCGTCCCTATCTTTCTTATAAGCCCCCTTTAAATACTGAAAGATCAAAATAAGGTCTCCCCAGTGCCTTCTCCAGACTGAACAACCTCAGCTCTCTCAGCCTTTCCTCATAGGAGAGGTGTTCCAGCCCTCTGATCAACTTGGTGTCCCTCCTCCAGACCCGCTACAGGGATCGATATCCTTCCTATGCCGAGGACCCCAGAGACAGATGCAGTGCTCCAAGTAGGGTCTCACCAGAGCGAAGCAGAGAGGTAGAATCATCTTCTCAACCTGCTGACCACACTGCTTTGGATACAGCCAGGATACCTTTGGCTTTCTGGGCTGTGACTGCACATTGCCGGGTCACGTTGAGCGTCTTGACAACCAACACTCCCAAGTCCTTCTCCCCAGCGCTGATTCCAGTCTCTTCCATCTCCCACTGTACTGAAACCAGTGGTTACCCCAGCCCAGGTGAAGGACCTTGCACCTGGAATCCTAGAACTTATAAATTCCCATAGGGCTTTTCTAAGCTAAGACACAACCATAACACTCTGAAAGGCAATGAACAAACCCAGGTTATGCTCCGCTGTTGCACTAGACTATATATAACATAGAAACTTGGAGGTGAAACAGCACAAATATATACAAATAACACTATAAAGTTCTGCTGACCATTATAATGGTCTGGCTACAGAGTTTGTAATTGTTGAGGCTGAGTTTTAGCCATATATCAGCCCTCTAGAGTAATACAGCAACACTCCTAGCCTCCACACAAGCATGTTTCATTGTCCAAGCCATACGAGATCATTCTAGGCCACACCAGATCATCCAGGGTCATTTTACCAAGAAGACAAGATAGCATCATTAAAATGATTTAATTTTCTACGTGAAAAGTGTTGTCACTAATTCAACTACAGTCCAAATAAGAAGTCATTCCAGACTAGAGATTATTAACACAAAGCTGTCATTACATAAACCAGTGGCTTAGCAGTTGTACTCAAAACTCCTGTTCTAAATGCAACAGGTTTGATTCCCACCCTGTTTTTCCTATTTGCAGCTGAGTCAAACACCATGGTTTGTGCACTGTAGGACTGACCCACTCTGCTGAGATCCAACCAATGCTTACGTTAGGCTCTTGCCATTTTCTCCTCTTGTCTGAGTATCTCAACAGTAAAAGTCCTTTTATCCTCAACCACAAATATGAAACAGCATTCCCCATTTCACAAAGGACATTTACTGGCATTTAAGAAATCTGATTGGCAGGACCCATGTGAGGTCTAACTGAGCAACCTAACCAATGGGTCATTCCTTCAGCCTGGTCTGCCTGGGCTGCACAAGAGCAGACAAGAATGTGCCAAAGAAAAAATACAGATCAGAAAGTCTACATTTAAGGAGTTTTCTTGATGAGTTGATACTTTAGATAATGTTGACAACAGTATGTTTATCATGGTGTTTATATCCAAAGAACTGATAACCTAAACTATACCTCCCATGGTTGGAGAGTTTTTACTAAGCTCTCATATAATGTTCTCCTCTGAAGCCAAGGTTCTGAGATCTTTGCTTTTTCTTCTTTTGCCAGAAAAAAAGTTTCAAAACAACATTGGTAAAGACACCAAAGAAAGAATAGAACTGACGGTTTCGAGATTTGACTATGGCGAAAACTGTCATTCCTGTCGAAATCAGAATGCTTTCTGAAATGTTATGACCACACTAAAGGATCAAAGGGCCCTCATCATTGGCATCGCTGAAAGCATTAAAAAAGGTGATTTCCATCATCATTCAATTAATACCGCCTTTAACTGACACAGCTTTCCAGGACAATGAAATGTGTTTTTCTTCCAAAGAGGAAATGTGAGAGAATTTTACTTTGTCCCATGAGTCATATTAACTGAAGAGGAGATACTTTATGCTTCACATACTTACTGTAGAGGAGATTACGGAGCTTCTTTTCTTCAATAACTGTCACCCATTACTGTCCCAGTACTGTCTGGAGTTGAAGAGCAGCACATATGTTTATGGATAATCTATGCCAAAATACTTAAAACATACATGTTCTGTCATGTGTATACTGGACAGAGAAAGCTACTGTAAAGATTATTATAAGTTTGATTTTTTTCCAATATGTGTCATACAGGAGGTGTGTGAGACATTTTATAAGGTATAATAATTCTGTTTGGGAGTAACCCAGTTTCTCAAACATTACTTAATTATTATTTAGTAACATGCCAAAACCAACCTTTCTTTGGACTTATTACTAAAGTACACACATTGAACTAGAAAAAATACGTACCACAACAAGGGCTTTTATCTGCCTCAGTGCTTAACTGAAAAACTAAGTTGAGCATTTGTCCATGTAATAATTTAACGTATGTCAGCCAAACATATCTTTATTTCAATTAAATTAAAAACAATCTGCAAGTATATTTATGCAACATTCACTATATACACACGATTTATGCAACTGCAAGGCAATTCTATGTATGCTGATTAATCTATTGTTAGTAAAACATGACAACAGCTATGGAAGTTGACAAGTGACTGTTTTCATGGCATGACGGAAAAAGAATAGCTACTAGCCATGAAATGGATTATCAGTAAACCTTAAAAAGAACATGACATAAGCTAGCAGAGATTAACAGTCTTCTAAATGTAGTAGTATATTTGCTTCAGATGATAGTGCTGCTTTTAAAAAAAAGTTTGCTGCCACCTTAATGATGTAAGACTTTCATCTGCTCTATCTAAAGAAAGCAATAATTAGACATTATGCTTCCTGGCAAAAATTTATTTTTGAACTGGCACCACAGTATTTCAGAAAATAATAATAAAGTACCTCTTTGGTGAAGCCTAGGTACCCCCTACTACTCGTTGTAACAACTTGTAAACAGAACCGCAATACAGTGCTTTGCCTTAATTCTAGCTCGGTTAGGTACCACAGATCTTCCTCACAGTCCTTCTCACAACTTTAGGAAGGTATTTTAAAGCAGGGAGTAAGTAAAGCAAAGGAAAATTAAGAAGGATATAAAGTTCCCTGTTTGAGATTTAAAAAAAGTGCATAATGTTTTCATTCCAAAAACTGTGCCACTGTATGGTACTGATGGATACAAGACTGTTTTCCTTCCTGTACTGGACATTATTGATCATTACACAAACACAGTCTCCGCTCATTGGCCAAAGAAGTCTCTCAAGCCTGTTTTCTGGTACAATCAGTTGTCCAATTACTTTTAGAACAATGTCCTGCATACTTAAACGAGAACAGCAAGTTAACCAGGTTTTCCACTAGAAAGTCTGATTTTGCAATTCCATTTCTGTACACCACTTTTTCCAATGTATTGGAGAGTCTTTAGTGTTTGGCATACACATCCCAACTCCTTGACACCACCAGGTTCAGTGCATCCATTGCCAGCAACAGACATAGCACCAGGAAAACGCAACTCCCAGCGCGAGGGATAGTTCAGGAAGAGTGGGCGTTCTCCAGCAATGGTGGTCCATCCCGATGCATTGATGGGTGTGTGTGCTCCCTTTTGTAAGTTTTTGGAGGAAGCTTTGGGATATGTTGAGAAGTGCTTTGTCGTGGAGGAACGGGTGGTCCAGCAACAGAAGGGAGGTCCACATCCTGTGGTATCAAAGGTGGTGATGGAAGATGCCTCCGTGCTACATGTGGAGAAGGTGTCTGAGGGGGAGGGGAAGTAAACGGAGATGGACTGTTTGGGAAAAAGGTGTTACCAAGTTCGCTTTTTCTCCCCAGTGGCGGAGGTTGGAGGTGTAGTGGTGAGCTAGAGAAAACATCTGGAGTTCGCACAGGTTCTCGTGGCGGTAACTCAGGAGGGTTTACAGTGGTAACACTAGAGTCAGAGATGCAGGTCCGATCAGGCACTGAGTACCTTGGTGAGTACACTTTAGAGGTTGGTTGCCTAGGAGGGATGGCTGGTGGGTTGTCCAGGTTTGCAGAAGTAATCTGAGATACACAAACATTTCATTCAATAAAATTCCAGAGTGGCAGCAAAGAACAGGACCCTGCTTTGACACAGAAGCAGAGCTCCCACACTGCAGATTGCTCTTAGCAAGGGCGCATCGATACATGAGTTAACAGCCAAGGATGGAAGGAATGAAGATGCACATAGAGGGACAAAAGCAAGGCAAAGAATGGTCAAAGCAACAATTTCCATGCTAATTCCATGTCTGCTTCCTGGGGAGGTGTGGGTATCTTCCACCACCTCTCCAGCAACATGCACTTGGGGTTGGTAAACACACCAGATATTTCTTCAAGAAAATGAGGAAAGGGGAGAAGCTGATAATGCTGAAGAGGGAAAGAATAAACTATGCTAAGAAGATGGAATTAAGTAGTCAGAATTATGGAAGTAAACAGTTCCCAAGCTGCAGACCACAGAGATAGAGTAACTGGTCCTCAACAACCCCATCAACTTTGATTAAAACATGATGTGTTAAATTCTGCTGACTGACTGCACAGTCACCTGTAGCCTGAAAACTTGCTGAAGAGCTATATGCAAGCCCTCTTCAAAGACATACGTGTTCTGAAATAATTTTGAGTGGGATTTTCAAATCTGCAGTCACAAAGTAGCTCACACTGAAATTGGGAGAAATTTCACACTGCAACAAAGTCTGGATCAGACTCCAACCGCCAGACAAATGCAAAAGGAAAATGTAGCAATGGCTTAAGGAGGCAGGCAGAGAGGATGGGTAAATATGAAGGGAAAGCAAGGCACTTGAGCACCGCAGCATATGGGTCAAATATTCTGAAGAAACTTTTCAGAGGACTGAATTTCCATTATTACTGTTTTTATCAGTTCTTTATCCCAATTCATACATCCTAAAACGATAATCTGGAACAATTATCGCAGACAGAAACAGATGGAAACATCTGCCTGAAGCCTTAAGTTCTCACAGGCAATGTAAGGGCCTGAGCATAGCACATCGGTAGATGAGACATTTCTAACCCTAAATTTAGGTCCCATCTGTTTTCATCTGTTTGGGATCAAGAAATAATGAGGCAGAGCTGTGAAGGCTTGAAATACATGGCTGCTTATTCTTTCACATACAGTTCTTCAAAAACAAATGTATATCTACCTTCAAGAGTTACTTCCTATCACACCCTGCCCTCTGCTCCCAGAACACAAATAACCTTTTTTTCTCTGTACTTACTTTTGAGGGGGAGGATTCAGCTGGGGCAGATTCTGGTCTTCTTCGTGGAGGAACTGGAGGAGGGACAGGAGCATCATCTGAATTTTTGGTAAAGTTTATGGATGACACAGAAGCAGATCCTAGTGTGCATAAAAAAAAATGTTGACAGTGATCAACTTTTGTTTGACTCAATATATTTTCTCTATTGCTGCCAATAAAGGTGTCATAAATAATAGAGCATTTGCACATAAAAAGCATCACAAATCAAGGTAGTGTTAAATAAAGACAATGAAACAAGCCTTTAACTTGCAGCTTCCAGACAAACTGCTTTTGTGAGCTGCAAACATCTCTGTGGCCATCGGTTCCTGAACATTCTTAAGTAATCCTCGAGACCAAAACCACACCACAAACTTGTTCTTATACCACAACAGCACTAAAACAACATCCTGAACCTGCAGTCAATGAGCCAACCCAGCAACGAAGAAACTCTTCTAAAGAGGTATTCCAGAGACCTGGCTTGGAACTCAACAATGCCACTGCTCCGCTAAGCAACTTCTGCTTTTAGCAAGTCATTTCACCTCCTTGTGGCAACCAGCTGACCTTTGGAAGTCCTCATACATGAAAGGAGGCAATATCCGTTATTAATTACTGGGAGCACACCACAAAATATGAGCTTCCTTGTATGTCAGTGGAGACAGAAGAAAAACAGGTGTGGATAGGTCCTGATGGATTTAAAGCAAAGAAATACTTATTTTTAAGTTCTGCAGGAAAGCCATCCATGTACACTGAAACCAATTTGGAATGGCAGACAGCAGACTAAGGCACCCACAAAACATTCATTTTTTACTCTCATTGATCACCATCAGATACTCACCAAATATATTCAACCCATATATATTTGGCAGCAAATCCCACAAGTGCGAGACATATTATAGGCACTAGAGATATACCTCTGCCTTCTGTTTTGATAGTTCCTCCAAAGCCTTGTAATAGTCTCTATCTAACACACCTAATTCTGTTCAGTTTCTCTCTTTATAATAAAAACTTACTAAAGAAAAAAGGGAAAAAAAACCACTGAAAGTTCTTGCGGCTGCAAGGAGACAAAAGCGACTACTTCTACAATCGCTTTAGAAGACTAAACATGGTTTCACCTGTCTAACATCACAAAATCTAACGGGTACATTCTTGGTGGACTGTCTATTAGCACCTACTTGTATGAAAGGGACTCGAAGGATCAGAGTCAAACACACTGCAGGCGTCTGTGGTGCTTGAAGTGGCAGAAGCAGGGGGAGGGGTCAGAGGTGTTCGGGGAGAGTTTGGTGCAGATGCTGTAGCTTCAGTCTCGCTCTCTGGGATGCGGCTGTAACTAATTTTCCTCGGCTCCTGCTGCAGGGGTGTAGGATGTCTCATGGTACCTGGCCTTGGATTAGAAGGACGAACACCTGGGGACTTGAGAGGATAGCTGTATTTTTTGGGCTGAAACGATAAAAAAAAGATAGTATCAAACAAAATCAAAAGGCCACGAGATCACCTAAATGTAGCTTTGTATTCATGAAGTCATAGCTCTGAAATGACTTCTGTTACCTGTGAAAGACAATTGTAAGCACTTTTTGAAAAAAATTTACAAAAATTGAATACTAACAAATCTTGGAGGAGGCTTGACATTTCTTGGCTCTATCTCTAGTGACTTGTTGAACAGATAATCTGTAAATTCCGTCTCCATGCTGTTTCCCATTGGATTCAGGTTTTCGAAAAATCTCTGAAATACAAGAAGGTAGAAAACTTGTCAGCTTAGAAAACTGCTGCTTAGTACTGTTTGTTTCTACTAATCCCAACTGTTCAGGAGAAGAGAGAAAATGCTGGAGTCAGAAGGAACAGCAGACTTATAAGTTATTAAATCTATTTGCTGCCAGCCCTTTGCTGGGCATTGCTACCGCTGTGCTTGGCCTGAAAACCAGTTGTGCAACTACCCTAAATACTTTCTGCAGTGCAAAATCAGACGAAGTTAGCTCAAACACCTTCAGAAGAAGCTGCATGTAGCCTGTCGTCACACTGATGCAGGGAAGACTGCTCTCACGATGCAGTCGAAGCCTGAGGAGAACAAATAACAGAAGGAAATCTTGCAGAATCTCTTAAGATAGCCTGTCCTATGACTCTCTGAAAGTATGTAGCTCAAAAGATAGTTAAAAAAAAGAAAGAAAGGAAAGCAAACAGAGAGGATGCGGCCTAGAGAACACCTCAGACCAAGGAGAACAAGCACCAGGAGAAATAAAAATGTGAGTATCACCACCATCAATGCATGATGCAAATACAGCACTATCAGGTAAATCTGGAAACACAAAGGCAGTGTAACACAGGAGGAAAAGACAACTGGGATCACTGGATAAATAATTTTAACTGAGTAAAGGACAGCGAGAATCCATTAGTTTCAGTTCCTGTTTAACACTGATCAATAAAATCTACCAATGTCCCAGTAGCTGAGAAAAAAATGAAACAAACCCCACCAAACTGCAAGCATTGAGCTTTCTGCCCTTTCTTACGGTGAGACCCAAGAGAAGTTTTATGATAGGCCTTCTGCTCATCTCTGATTCAGTCAGCTTGAATCTATGTGAATTCAGTCTATCCCTAGGGTCTGTCAGCTGACAGAAAATCGTGCTACTTACCCTGATGTCAAATTCCACTCTTAAACAATATGGCTGGTTCTGGTACTGCTGTATCTCTCCTGTTATTTCAGCTACCTTTCTTCTCTTGCTGAAGTTTATAAGTTCTTTCCCATGTCGCTTCAGAAATTCAGGATTGCCTTCTTCTGTTTTCAAAATGTTAGTTAAGTAAATCCCTAAAGAGCACACAGAAGAGGTTCTCAATAAGTACAAAACAAGGAGAAAGTCACAACTGGAATACAAAGAACTCTTATGGAATTTAAATAGTGCACTCTAATTATTTCAAAACCTTCACTGTTAGTGTCAATAAGAGAATCCCACCTCAATTTCAAGTAAGGGCAACAATTTACATATTTTAACATGCCTTTTCCAAAAAGTTGCCTTTTTTTCAATGAAGTCCCTAAGTCTATGCATCTTTCTATTGTTAAGGAAGCTGACACAACTGAACACTACTAGCACTTTGCACTAAAAGGGTACACTGAACACAAGTGCTCTCAATGGCTCTACTCCACTAGACACCCCAACTAAACTCCAAAAAATTATTTTCAGGTTTTATCCTGGCTTCATATTTGTACCGAATCATTTGAAGATCTGAAAGAAAAAAGTGCTCTCAACTCCACAGATAATGTATCTGGAACCGTAATTATGATTCTTCCAAGTATAACCTGACAGAACTAACTGAAGCTATTCACATCTGATCCTGCTAACCTCTCAGGCAGGGCAGAAGGTTTCTCAGTTGATCTTATCTTTCTCTGTAGAGCTCTGGAGTATATCTTTCCCCAATTGGTAAAAGGCCACAAGAGCCATCAACACTTTTTTTCTTTCAGTTTTGGCCTGAAGCTTATGCTGGACAAGTGCAATGTCCAGACTTGGAACTGACCTGCAGCAAATATTTAAGTAACTTGATCAAGAACACAAATGCCATGTGCTTAACATCACAATTTGCTAAATGTCAGCAATCTACTTCAAAGAAGAACTGCTAAATCTGATGATAAAGAGGAGGCTTTCTTCCAAAACTCTGCTTTTACAGAAATAAGACTTTTTAGTAGAAATAAAACTCTAGCTTTATTTCTTGAAGCTCTGGATGGCGGTCCTTCTTTCTCTACTAGTCAATGGCAATAATATTTCTAATGCAACTGCCATCTATTTAAGGCATTTCTGGTCGTTTCAAACCAAATTCTAAGTAAAGATGAGTAAATATGTAAATAAGATATTGCAGACATAGTTTGCTGCAGATATTTTTATATGCAGATAACATCTGCAACTAATAGTCACTTCAATTTTTCTTTCCAATATATGCAATTAAAGTCTGGGCACCTGAAATTCCAACCCACCTGTCCTGTTAAAACTGATTTCTCACTATTGTTCATACTCTGTTTAGTACCTTAACTCAATACTTTCCAAATGTTTAAGCATGATATAGCTCATTCAAACCAAACATACTTACCAAAAAAAGGCACACAAGGAGGGTTAATGGACCTGAGTTTTGCCAAATATTTCTTATAATGATCCTCACTCAGCTCATAAGCTTCTTCTAAAATCTTCTTCTGGCGACTTGGAATTTGCTTAAACAAGAGATTAAAAACAGGTTGTTTGGAAAGGCAGGGTAGAGGTGTAGCCCAGCAACGACACCGAGACTAATGGTCTCCCACAGATACTTAAATCAGAGACCATGAGGGCAGTGCCCCACCATCCTGAGAAGCCTCTCTTAAGCAAGGATGGATTTGTTGCTTCTGTAACCAAGAAAAAAACCCACTTTGTTACACCCTGATTGATTAATTTCTTGGGGGATTTACTTTCCTTGCTCCTTCTTTGAAGTACGTGCTTACTGAAAAGACAGGTTTTCAGTGTAGCTAAGGTACACTGCATTACACTTCCATACCAAAAATGGAAAACATTTCACTGTACCTCAAATGTGTGATCCAACCTATACACTGCTGCGGAGTTCATAGCACTGACAATCTCAAGGACACCATTAAAGTTGTTTAGCTCTTGAAAAACTTGCAGGATCTCAATTATCCGGCTCACCACAATCACTCTTTCCTCTAGGTTTTCTGTTTCTACAATGCATCTAAATAGACAAGAACATTTGATTTTGTATTAAAGCATTGACGAGTTTTCCAAAATCAAATATTAAGTCATAACACAAACAAATATGAGTTTATCAAATTAATGGAGAAAGTTCTGAACATGTTCAGAGGCTTGAAAATATTCTAAGAATAAAAAGCTGAGATCATTATGCTAAAATTCTCGCAGGGACCAGTATTAGCATCTAAACACAGCATCAAAACAGGAGTTCTCCCAAAACAGGATTTTTCACAGTTATCCTTGTGAATGGACTGTAAATGTCCAGATATGGAGTAGGTGCAGATTCAGGAAAGTCACTTACTTTTCAAACCACAAAGTAAGGTTAGTTGTATGTCTTATCATTTTGAGAAGGTTGGGAGAATTAATTTCTTTATCTTCCTTTGTCCACACACTTCCAACAAGTTCTGATGGTTGCACAGCTCTAGAAAAGGAGACGCATTATCAAAAAATGTAAAATTAAAATACTTAAAAGCAGGAAAGAAGACATTATCTTCCCAAGCCCTCCTTATTTTCACTGAATTTGGAATTCACATTTAGAAATAAATTTTAAAGGTATCACTTCTCTTTTATAATGTTAGGCTCCCCTCATGACTAAATGACTGATATTTCTACACTTCTTTTTCAGACAGTATTTCTTAATCTATGAGACTCCCAACCACCTCTAAATGAAGAATGAGCCTCTCTCTCGTTCACTATAATAAAATGTGAGCTTCCAATGCCTAAACAACCTCTCACAGACAGCTGATGAGAAATGACATAGTTTCTGAAGCAGATTATGGACTAAGATATGAAAAACCCTGATATAATAATTGTTCGTACTTCTCAAAGGTTGATCAACTCAAAAAAATATGAAGAGAAAGCTGGAGCACAATACAATTAACAGTATGCAACAGTCACATGTACTGCATGTTAACCTGGGGAGGATAAAACAAACACTATACTTTAGAGGGTTTTTTCTGCAAATATAGTAATTAATATACAGCACTGGTAGAGTTCCTTGACCCACCGTGGGGCTTCACCCCCAGAAACAATTTCCCGCCAGAGAACATTTTGATTTGTGTCGCGTGTCCTTCAGTGGAGGAAAGTTACCTGTAAAAATCTGACTCAAGTAAAGTGAGCTGCCGAGCAATTTCTATGGGATGCAGAGTGAGCAAGTCAAAAGTCTCGGTGTGTCCTGGTTTGCTTATGTGCCATTCAATTGCTGGAGGTGGGCTCTCAAAAGTGATGTTGTGACTCGGCCCGATGGCTTGCGCCTGCTTTTTCCGGTTGATTATCTTTGTGATCGATTCAACCCATTTCTTCATGGCTTTGCCTGGCACACAGAGAAAATTGCTATTTAGTTACTCTCAATACTGTTTTTCCTAAGAGGTCAGTAAAATTCAGAAATCTTTGGATTTAAACCCAAGACTACTAAATTACAGCAACCACATATTCTTTAGAAGTCGAGTTCTCACACAAGTCTGAAAGTATTCAGAGACACAAAAAATTCCTCAACAGTCAATGCTGAACACAAGTTTGCCAAGCATAAATCAGAACACCCAAACTAGGCTCCTGCTCTGATTTAGATGCTTTCCTTTCTTTTCTGAGTTTAGAGGAACTAACTTCTTTCACCCAAAATGCACTTCTGCAAACACATTGAACTTTACACTTCAGGCAGAAGTGCAGGTCCAAAACCACAGAAAAATCAAAACAACAAACAGGGAGAAGCTTCTCCCTGTACTGTATTTACCATCAAAGTTCAGAATAAAATCAAAAAGCCAAATGTCTTTTTAACTCTACACCATAACAATTTCATGCACAAGTCCATTGAAAATTTATCAGTAGCCACCACTAAACTAGCTGGCTCATTCTCCCCTCTTTTTAACTGCTAAATAACCATTAAATACTTCTCTGACTGCTACTGTATCTGTCTTGGTTTTATCTAAAAAGAAACAAGAAAAATCTGTAAAATCACAACTGCAAAGTGTCCTACAGTTCTAATATGCACTGTGAAATAGCTGGAAACCCTTGTTTCAAAGAAACAGTGGTTTTCACCATCAAACTTTTATAAAAATTACCCCTGTGTAAAGTTTAAGATGACAATTAAAGCAATCATTCTGTCCTGATCATTACTCAGTTCTTATTACTTTGCATTATTTCAGTCCCTTTACAACAAAATCAGTGCTTCTTTACATAAATAACAATTGTTATTCTGAACAGAGGCCAGATTTTGAATAATAGTGTGTGTGTGTGGGGAAAATGATGAAAGTTTATTTTATGCTGTTTATGAAGTATTTAATAAGCAGTCCTGTTTTTATCTGATTAGTGAAAGGAAAAATTATTCCATTCCTTCCTTTTAAAAAGGGATGCTTTATGATAAATGCCAGCATTTAAGAAACTGTAAGTACCTCTCACTGTCCCAATGAATTCCTCCAAACGTTTCAGAAGATCAGCATCTCGTTCAAAGTCATAGAAGTGGTGTTCTACCCAGTGTCGACACACATTTAATACCCTGCAAAAGTAAAGAGTAACTAAACACTCTTACAATCCAGTCTACCTTCCCCATCAAAGAATTTACAAGAAAGGCTGCCGGTATGACCACGACCCAGCGCATCCAAAAGGTGGTACTTCAGCAGACTTAAAGGAATTCGGTTTGGCTCCCAAGGATGCGATCAATCCTCACCGTAGCTGCACAGGTTGAATGTACTCCTTCCTAAATCTTTTCAGCTCTGCACTGAGAGGCTGGTCTCCGTTCTCCATCGCAATACGGTCGGCTTCCGTTGGCTCAGGCTCTGGGATTTCAAACCTAGCACAGAAGACGGGTGTAAGCACGAGGCTCCTGTGACACTGATCTTGGTCACAGCATGCAGGAATTAAAGGCAGCTTGAAATTCAGATGATTTTCTCGTGTCTTTGTAAGTACATAGGAAAATTTGTTAAATTCAATACCAGTACACATTTCAAAGACAAACCCATGGGATGCTGAAGTTACTGGAGCTACCTAAACAATAATAAAGCTTCAGGATATAAACTTGTACATTTTACTGGCAATCCTTGAATTTGACAACTTTTTAAAAAGCATTGGAAGTGAATCAAAACCAACTGCAACGCCAGAATCTTACAAACTCCAAGTAAAAAAAAAAAAAAAATTAATTTTTCACTTCATAAGAACAGTATTTTTAACAGTGTCATACCTTTCTATTAGCAAACTCAGCAACTCTTGAGGTCTACAGAAGGATCTATATGTTGTGAGAAAAGTCCGAACAAAGTTGGGATCTAAGACAAAGAATAATTTTACACTTATGTCAGCAATTACCTTATTTTTTTCCTTTAAAATAACTGTAACTATCCTTCAAAATTAAGGATGCCACCCTATCAATTTACTAAGAAGATGATGTAAACTTAAATGGCTTTGGTAACAATTCAGAACCTCTTAAAATAGCAATTTAAAGCAGAATTCAAAACCAAGGTTTTTTCTGTTGAAAGTTCAGAACAGCGACTTCCCCCCCCTCTTCAGCTATTAAAAGACAGGATTCTTTTCCAATTACTTCAAAAATAATAAATAGAGGATTTTATTTATGAGCCATCTAGTCAACAACTTCAATTTTGACAATGATTGGGACAAGATATCTGAAAAAACACAGCCAGTAACTTTGCATTGGGTATAAATGGCCTATTCTAGAGGAGAATGTTTTCCCTGAACTGGCACAACTGGTCATGGTTAAGGCAGACTAGACAATTTTTTCAGCTACTGTGAGAGCAATACTTTGAGCTTATATTTCACTTCAAGAAAATGACCCAATTTCATTTAAATTGACTAATTACTTATCAATTAATTTAAAATACGAAAATGTTTTTTAAAAACAAGCAAGTGTTCAAAACACGCAACCAAAGTGTCTCCCATAATTACAGGAGCAAAACCATTTGTTTTCAAGTATGAGGAAATGCAGTGACAGCACACTGGCACTGCACAGAGCTATCTCGAAACAAGGTTAACACTCTTATCACTGAACAAAATTAATGAGCGGACTGCAGCGGTTTTGCATATTAAATCCAAATTCAGATTTTAAAACGTAAACCCAACTGGTAATTGTTCTAACATAGAGTGGCTGAAGAGGAGCACAGAGGATTTGAAGCAGGAGTTCCAATAGGTTTTAACATAGGAAAAAAAAGATGGTTTTATTTGACCTAATGCTGTATTAGATTTGTTTCTTGGAATATGGGTTTTAAGAGCTGGTTTAAAATCCTCCTTAACTTTTTACCAGCATCTTGTCCATTTGAACAAACATTCTGTTCTTACTAGATCCTACTAAGTTCTTCATTTAAGCAACAGTTTACTGTGATGTGTTGCACAGGTTAACTGTGTATCGTGTGACACAGCATCTCCACGCATATTTGTTATATGATAATTCCCATTTCGTAAACAATTGGCTATTCTTTACCCATCTCCTCCATTACTCCATTTTCCAAATCATAACCCCTCTCCCATCACTCTTGGAAACTGTACCTTACAAAATTATTTTCAAAGGTAAAACCTCAATACTTTTTGCACAGAAAATGTCATCTGTGTCCCCATCATCCTCACTGTGAAAATATACAATTTTTGTTGTATTAAAGAAGTGGAGCAACTCATGCTTTTGCAGCTTGCATTCCGTACATAGCATCTACCCTAAAAAGATTTTGTCTACATGAAAAAGAAACCCTCCATAGCAATTAACATTTTCAGATCACTGCAAGCTCTGAGTCATAGCTATTGTTATCTACAGGTAGGGTCAGCAAACAAATCCACAATACGTATTGAATTTTAAACGAAGTAGATCAGAAAATCAAATCTACCCTTGTTATCTTACTAGCAAAGACTGTAACTCAAAATAGTGTACAATATATGAGCAAGTGTTAAAAAAAATACAGACAACACTAGTTAGCCAGGATGTCTGTTCATGTGATAATTCTCTCTTCAATGCAGCCAATTTGAAAGCTAAAAAAGAACAATAACTTGTTCTACAAGGATTTATAAATAATCACCCTTGAATTCCTTAAGAAAGGAAACGGACACTATGATGACGCACAAGCACTCTTAACATATCAAAGCTTTAAAAATAGACGAGCACTGCCCTATAGATAAAAAAAAAATACCATGACTTTAAAACCCTGGTACCACCTAACCCAGCTGCTCTTAAACAAAAATCAGGCAAAAGGAGATAACGAATGCAGAAATACATTAAAACAAGTAAACCCCAGCAGAATATGCAAATAGGGTCAGAACCTGAATTTCTAATTGAAGGGCAGTTTCTCTCATATAAAAATATAAGGAAAGTTGCTTTTGCAGAGGAGATTTCTCCCTGTTTTGCTGCTCCACCACAGGAAGGATAGTTTGGATAGTCTGCTGCACCTTGTGGCCAGGTGGCCATCAGGGCTGTCTCCCCATCTGAGCTCTTGCAGAGGGTTGGATCCTTCCCAGCCCCAGCAGCATCATTCCCTTAGAGCTGTCCCTGTTCCACAGCATAACAGAGAAATATTCTGGCTGATAACATGGTTTATGCATTTCTGGGGAGGTGAGAGAAGAAAAATAAAAGGTCAAACACCCATATCTACAAATGAGATGCATCGTGTGGATGGATCTTCACAGATAGCAAAAAAGTTGAGACCTGATTTGACTTCTCAACATGCAACTCACTAAATTGCTCTTCAGCTACCTGTAACAAATACATACCACCTCTGCAACTACACCTGTAATTATTCCTTATACCACTTGACCTACAAAGAAAAACATGTAAGGAAAAGTCACAGCTATGGTAAATACTGTCTTGAAACTGTCAGATCAAGGGCTGACATAACCAGTCACAGCTATTCGAAAAAAGCTGCCTCAGAAAAGTAAAGGCTTGCTATTCTGGTATAAGAATATAGAGTTAATAAAATCTTTTAAGATTACTATCACACAAACACAATCCTACGTGGGGCAAGAAAAGCATTTCTCCAGTCTGTAGCTGTTTGGTTACATATCACCAGAGCATTCATCTCCCCACATCTCCAAGCAAACAAGAAGCCTTGAGCTCAGCTGTATGAAAGAGCTAAAGTGTCACTATGGAAAGTTGTTGTCCTACTTGCTGCATCTCAAAAGATACAACAAAACACTGAATGATTTCCACTGAAAATGGACCGTGCTTCCTGTACAACAGAGCATTTTTGGCTGAGTCATTATATCTCTTATTTATTTGTACACTTGGAAAAGACTGCACAGAATGATTAGAACAATGATGTTTGTCCTCATAGATAACTAATTATAAAGTAGAAGGTATAGAGGGTAAGAGTGTTGAGAAATGATATGCAATCCAGCATCATGTCCATGTAGGTTGCACTAAGATCTTTAAGGCTACAAAAGACAGGCTAAATACATTACAAGACAACCATTGTTACCCTTTTGGTCAAAGTCTTTCAGCCTATCTCACAATACCCCTGTTCTCACTGTTCTCATGCAATAGTTTGGTCAATGCCACCCATACCTACAACACTAGGCTTCAAGCAACCTACTTAAAGCTCTGTTTAAATAGAGATTGTCACAAGCAGGGATTTAAATGACAGTGGACAAAATGGATCTAATCAACTGATCTGAATTCTTGATGTTCTATGCGCTAGAAAGGCCAGAGAAAAAGATGTAGGTGTAAAAAAAACCCCATACAAGAGACATATTTCAACAAGCTACACACGTCACAGAAAGAGGCCTTCCTGTTTTATGGAACTGAAGGATGTAGCCTGTGGCTCCCTGGACAGATACAATGCCCGAAGAGCCCTGACAGCTATGGCACTGAAGTCCCAGCACGTCTGAAAAAGGCAACTTTCAATGGTGCACAAGTTAACCAAAGCAAAGCAAATGTTCATAAGGGCACTAATGAAGGACTGTTTTCGCTAATTCTTTGGCAAAGACAATGCTAGCTTTCAAAAAAGTAAAAAAAAAAAAAGTGTTTCCTTTCTCTAAGACTGAATTGTTTGATTTTAACTTCCAAAACCATAAAATTATGTAATAAATCATGCCTATAAAACCTGAAGCCAAAGAGCTGGAAGTTTATAAAGTTAAGAAAATAAAGACAGGCACAAGACTGCTCTGATAAAAACTGCCAGCATAATATTGCATTTGGCTTTCTAGCACATGTAAGAAAAATTCAAGGAACTGAGAAAAAGAGCAATAAAAGCAGTGCAATAAAGAGAAGCAATTACAAGTATTTTAAAAAGTAAATGAGTACTAAACTACACAAACTGTATTCTGCTAATAATAATATAGTTTTATATAATATAGGTATTATATTCTTTCAAACAAATATTCCTGGTTTAGGACTGACCTGCAGAAGAACACTCTATGATAATCAGAGTGTAAAGAGTAAAAAGAAAGAAAAAAAAGAAACTGTTGAATATGAAAAGCACTAATAACAAGATGCGTGAAGTTTTAGAATAACTGACATACAGACAGAATCAGAAAAATAACAAAAAAAAAATCCAAACCCCAAATGCAAGCCCATGCTTTACAGCACAGCTTATGAAAATCCTGGGATGTTATTAAGAAAACCTCCACACACTGAGCTTAGCCTGGATGATCACATAATGTCTTTAATGTGTCTTCAACACAAACAGAAACCCTAAATCTAAAAGTCCTTACATCAAATCCTCACTGAAGTTCTGATTAAGACAAATTCCTGAAGCCAAATTATGCAAGTGGCTGCTTCTATCAAGCTGATATTGGTCTTTCCATTACACGCCAGCATGGGCATAGGTAACAGATCCCTTAACTGAAAACACTGGTCCCATAATTTCTCCTGCAATGCTGGCGCTTCATGTGCCACCAAGCTTTGGAAGTCTGCAGGGAAGGCAACTCTCGTAGCCTGGGGCATAAAGGAAAAAGTATTGTCCAGAGCTCAATTCCTGCAGGCCCCCATCCCCCTATCCCTTGCACAAGAATAACCTTATGCACATGCATATCCCGCTACGTTCAGCCAAACAGGATTCCCACTCTTAATAGCTACAGCAGGGATTACTTAGAGGTCAAAACCCAAGAGCACACTAGAGTATGTGCACTGCAAAGCACACTCACTTTCCACTCACTTTCTATATTCTGCTGCATGTATTTCACACAGGAAGAGAAGCATAAACGAGTCACCACCTTGAGTTTTGGTTATGCAAACCAAGTGCCTCACCTGCATACATGTGGTAAGTCAGCCTCTCGATGAGCTTCACAACAGTTCCTGCCTTGATGATGGGGATTCCAGATTTGGGCTGCATGTTTTCTTCAAACACAATATTCTCTTCAGAGTCGGGTTCTGCAAATCTATAAAGCTCAGGATTTGGAAATCTCATCTGCTCCTCTTTTTCTTCCTGCAACATTGTTACATCCAACATCCTTTCCAGCGTGCTTCTATATTGCAAAGATATCAATGCTGCCATCCAGTTGTTTTTCTCTTCAGCTGATTTAGCAGCAAAAATAACACTGTTCTCATCTTTTAAGATGATTTCAAAAGCATGTCTGTACTCATTAGTGTCATCTTTATCATTGATTTGTACCTTTCGCATGAAGAACTTTTCCTTTAGTCGATATTCTGCATTGCTAGCACCAGGAAGTCTTGGCTGGCCATGATTTGACTTACAGCAAATCATCAAGCCATCAAATAGAAATATGTGTCTCTCGTGCTTTGCTCCTACACGTGTGAGTGTTCCTTCCATGATGAACTCGTTACAGCATTGTCCAATGTCTTTACCCTCCCAACCATCAATATTTTTCTGGATTTCATTCATTTTCTTAATTGCTAGCTGTTTCCCCTTCATCTGCTGAGTATAGAACCGGCATGCAGATTCACTTCAGTGAAGGATGGGAGAAAGGCAGCCTATTAGTATACATGTATTTGAAAAACACAACCACCACTAACAGCAAAAACACCAAGTCATCATTCTGAGTAGTGTGAATTCTACTCAGAATGCAATTTCAGCACTCAATATCATCATTACTGTAAGCCTCAAGTAATGTTTCTGTTAAGTATCTCATCGGATAAATTCTCTACTTATCTTCAGCAATAAATACTTTACCTAAACACAGGTAACCGGACGAAGGCAAGCTGTTAGTGCTTCTTAGCCTAACAAACCCCTCACTTTCACAACCAACAAAACAATTTTAGATTGCATTAATTTGAAATGATGCTCATTCAGAAAAAATAAGCTGTTAAATGCATTCATGTCCAAGCCTAAAGATTACCCTTTGCAGCACAAAACTTGTCTGGCAAAGAAAATATTGAAACAATTTTAAGAGCAAAAGCAAAGTTTAACATGTTTAAATAATTACACAAACATTAGCATTAAAAGCAACAGCAGGTAGCATAATCCAAGAATTTGCTACAACAGTGCAACTAAGTACTAGCTCGCTATGCATCTATTTCTATTATCCAGTGATAATTTTAACTAACATTGCACAAAAAACTCTGCAGATTAGGCAGTTTCAAATTCAAAAACATTCCCTTCTAATGACACAGAAAGGTACTTCTACAATGTTTTTAGGTGGATATTTATTATCTGAGCATAATTAACCCACAAAAGCCATAACTTTCTACTTACCAGTGAATTCTCAGAACGTCTCAACTACCAGTTTGCAAGGACACATAGAAATTAGAACTGTTTTCAAACAATAACAAATTATCTTGGCTTTGATGTCACTTCCTCTGAAAAAGCAGGCTTGTCACAAACTATTTTGTTCATTGTTTACTAAAAGAGGAAACTGGGAGCCCTGGATTTATAGCAAAGCATTAAGAGCAGAAAGCAGGAAAACCGGAAACGTTTACCTAAGCCTTCGTTTTGCAAGGCTTTTGGAGCATATCCGTTCCATACTGCTTTGAAGATTGAGTAGGGCAGTTATTGCTTGCTTTAAACACTCTTTATCCTCTTCATCCTCACTTTTTTCTTCCAATTGCTGTGAACATTGAAAGTAAAATACAGAGAGTGTTACAAGCATTTTGGAATGTGCAAATCCAGAAGCTTGACCCAGGAAGAAGAAATCTAACCATCTGCTGATTTTGCATGTTCCTACTTGTTATTAAAGTTAATGAAATAACCAAGTGCTTTACTGACACAGGTGAGAGACTGCTAAGAACTTAGTGTCAGTAAAAGGAGAGCAGCACTCATTAAGGCCCCCCAGATACAACACACACGAACAGGCATTATTTACCTCAAAGTAGTGTGATTTACCTCACATCTCCCTAAAGGAACCCATTAGAGATGCTAGATCTTAAAAGTAATAAAGGATGAAGGAGATTGCCATATACACCATTCTACAGCACAAGATCAAATCAGCGAGACGTCTGTATGTTTTTAACATATATAAACACTTCTGCAACAGACAACCTGGACCCAAAGCTGAGCAAAACTCCTTCATCACACTTATAAACGGAAGATTACAAGGGCTCTCATCTCACTAGTAACAGTCTAATCAATAATTCAGGTTGAAGGGGACCTTGGAGATTACCTTATCCAACCTTCAGCTCAACTGCAGAGCCAACACACATCAGACGGCCTAGAGCCATAGCCAGTTTTGAATCATTCTCAACACAGAGTATCCAAAACCTTTCTGGACAATCAGCTCCAATGTCTGAAATCTCTCAAGGTAGTTTTTTTTTTTTTTCCAATAGCTTATCAGGATTTCCCTCATTGACTTTTCAGAGTGGAATATGTGGAAGTACTATGCAGCTGCGAACATTATATCTCTGTCTTCCCCACCCCATCACACAGCCAAAGACTGGAGCAAGGCTGCTTCTCCTCCTTAGCTTCCTTTCATTAAAAGTAAGTAAGCCCCCTCCCCCAGCTTCATCACATGCTCCAGCATCAAGTCCTCTAGATGAGCCCTTCCAGGGGGCTTGTTTCAATTCACCAAAGTCAACAGGAAGCCCGAGTTGGATGTGGTTCTCCTGACATAGCCTTGTGTGTAGTGAACAGGTAGGTGCTGCTGTTTCCCTCAGCTCGATGGCTACACACTCGCTGATCAGCAATACAGGCCTTTGTTGCTGGGAGAGTGTTCATCTGGCTTCTGCACAGCTTATCCACCAGGAATAAGATTTTTTTTCATGCAAAAAAGCAAAGGGGAAAAACAACAACCAGAGGGATGGGGGGGAGAAGTAACCGTTCCTCCTCCATGGAGGGGTTGCTCGGCTGTTCATGGTCAGCTTGTAAAATCAGGGTGCCTAAGTCCCTATTGAGTACAAGCTACATTAATGCCTTCATATATTAACAACATACCTTAAAGGGCAAAAAATATAATAAAATTCTAAACTTAGATGGTAGGAGAACAGATAATACTAATATTTCATTTGTAACTATTGTTATGACGGGTAAGTTTCATAAAACAAGATCTGCCATGTTTAAGATTGATTAAATTTTCATCTTAAATATTCATTTAAGCATTAAAATGTTTCACATTATCGTTAGTGAAAGAATTGGTGACTGCAGCTCTGGCTTAGACATAAAAATGAAATAACATTTACAGGATTATTAAGAGACAAGCATTTTAGACTATTACACATCAAGATCTGGCTCTACTGAAAAGATTTTTGACAGAGGTGGTAGAAGTGAAGCAACACAGCCAGCATAGACCAGAATAAGACATTCTTAGAAATAGTACAATCACGATCTTTGCTTTCAGTGTGAAATAGAAGTATTGTCCTCCAAAATCCAACTGAATACAACATATTCATGTGTTTGACATTTGAATGGGTCAGAGAACAGCATTACATTTTTCCCCAGCCAGAATTAATCATTCAGTGCAAGAGCTGTCAATGCCAAAGACTACTTTGTGTTTTCAGCCATAAGGATCACCACAAAGTTTATTCTAGGCAGCTTTATTTCCTGTAGTGCAATCTGTCACACTCTCAACCTAAGCAGCATTAGGTATGAGTGCCTACTCATGTAACAGTAGTTCACTATTTCAGCTCACTGAAATAGAGCTGACAATGCATTACAAGAAGCATTACTTCCCAAAAGGTCCTGGGGAGAATACATCACTCTAGGAAGGAACAGACTGCCATGGCCATATTCCTCTACCCTCTAGATTTAGAAGAGGTATCACCTTTCCTTTGCTTCAGTTTTGCAGATCACCTAGGTTTAGAGAGGATTTCAGACAAATGAGGCAGGTGCAGCACCGCAGGCAGAAGTCCTGAAAGCAACTAAGAAAAACCTGTAACTAAGATTCTGCATCTTTCCTACACAAGAGTTCCAAGAAAGCTCTTTGCCTTGTGCGCTGCCTTTTACAAACTTCCATCAAAATAGTCTGGCTGGATTTCCTATAATTTCTGGGTTGCTACCCTTCATGAGATTGTTTTAGCCTAGTCTTCTTGAAAGTAAGCCTTATTAGGTCCTACGGTATTCTGTACATTCTCTTCAGAAACAAACTGGTACAGATTAACACTCATTACTGCAAAGCATTCTGCTCCTATGTCGCTTATAAAATGCTTTTTACAGCCATCTCTCTCCAGTTGCAGAAGTGGTGGTATTCATTACAGAATCGTATATGTCCTAAAACAAAACACATATTTGTATATAGTGCAGGAGAGAAAGCAGTTAACATTTGGGAGTAATGATAAATGGTATTTACCATTTCCAAGGGTAACCAGAGACTAAATCGGAGTCCAGTGAGTGCAGTTATGCTCCAGGTTTAACACTTACAGAGCAGTGTGTAGAGGGATGTGTCTTCTCATGTGTAAGACCAACATAAATGGCAAACCAGACAGTGCTGTGAACTCCTACAAAGACACTTCTCTGGACACAGAGGTTTGGAAGTTTATATGCCAGCGTGGTATTGTATAATTACCAATAACAGACTCAGTCAGAACTGAGCTTAAATTACAGCAACGTTTTCTTCTTACGCTGCCCCCAGACAGTTTGAAAGAGGTGGTTACGGAATGTGAAGAGGCATCACTGCAAAGCACCTGCAAATCCCACTGATTCTTCCATAGCTATGCAGTGCCCCCTAATGAACGAACCACGGAAATGCTAAGTAAGTGGTGGTGGTTGTTTGTTTTGGGTGTGTTTTTTTGTGCGGGTTTTTTTTACATAAAGTGCACTGTGAAGAATACTGTAATTTTATGTGAAAGAAGTGCAGATTTCTGATTATCAGTAGTATTATAGATGTTGTGCGTTTTAATAATCTTATGAGAAAATATTGGCTTATAGCTTATATGATTCACAACACTACAAGTACAGTATCCTGATCATTCAAAGAAAACAAACTTGGAATACAGACTGATAGGGAAGTCTCTAATAAAAAAAAACAAAACAAAACAAAAACCCCAAACAAAAACCAAACTACATCCTAGGCCACACGTTTTGAAGAAATATCAAGAAATGGAAGACAAGATATTTTGCTGTACCTATTGCATAACACAAGGATTAGACATTTATAAACCCTGGAAATTTCAAACAGATAGAAAAGAAATCCTTCTCATGCAGTGCTAAATTAGACTTTGGTAGTCATTCTTTAACATCATCAGGGAAGCATCTATCTAGAAGTACAATGATAGAAAACACATATGAGAATATGCAATTATAACCACACTAGCAGGCATCATGATGAATGTAAATTCTTGTACTTTAGGGCTTTTATCACATTTTAGACTTCTATCTTCCTAGAAGATTATTCTAAATCTAACCACTAATATTTGTGAACTGCAAGATCCCCAATTCACCTCGAGGTAACATCAAAAACCAGCTTCAATACACAGAAGAAAGAGCTGAATACGGGAGGCAGGGAAATCACAGCTGTGTCTGCTTAAGGTTAACTCAAGATTACCTGGTTGTAGGTACTGTCCCTCACAACATTAACTCAAGAAGTTTAGTGCACAGTGGTCCAATGTTACAAGAGGAAGCTCCACACTCAGTATGTTTGAGCTCAAACAATGAGCTCAAATTAGTGCTGCTTCAGAGAAACCTCTTCAAAACCCATTATGTACCTTCTCCAGAGATCCTGAAGCCCACAGCCCACAAAACACCTGCACAGCTGGCAAATCAAGCCTGGCCTGCAGCACGGCCTATCTGCTCCGTAGGGAAATGCCACATAGGTAAACCAGGTATATATGGGGGAACCTGAAGTGCAATGACACCAGTTACTCCAGCTTTTGTTCCAATGCCTCACCGTCTTCTGCAGCATGTTTCTGAAAATGTGGTACCTACCAAAGGGCAATCCTGAAACAGACTATTTTATAATCGAGAATAAAACCAAACAGAGTTTCTCCTCTGACAAAAGCAGGCAGGTCTGCTGGCACTTTGCCACAAAACAATCTTGGACTGTTTTCTCTGTAGCACTGAGATACCCAAGAGCACTCTCTGACTTCTTGTAATTTCTACAAATAATAAAAAACTCAACCCAAAGCAGCAGTATATGGAGGAAAAAAAAGTGTTCTCATATCTAGAAACTTTAATTTTTAGAAAACATCAGCAAATCATCTGAACAGCAAATGGGGACATCTGCAGGGAACACTATAAACTGGAAAATGCTAGCAATCTAAAAGGCACCTCACACTTGAACCTTGAAGGAAACTTCATGTGCCATATTTCTGAACATACATCAACAGCTTTAATGCATTTCAATTTGAAAAGTCATTTTGTTTGCATATAAACTGAGACAATCTTGAGCACAATGCAGCAAAAATATTCATACAGTTATCTAACTGTTTATTTAGATTTATATTACAGTAGGAGTGTTAGTTGCATTGAGTGGAACGGAACTTAACATATTACTGAAGTAATGATAAAAGCTTTTTCTCCACTCAAAGTTTAACTATGCCTTCTCTGTTTAATTTTAAAAAGTTACATAAAATTGCATCATCTTACATACACATGTCAAATATCAAAACCCAGATATCAAATAATTAATTAAAAAAAGCCTTCAGCACTCTCTTGGAAGTACATCTTAAAGGACATAAGAGC